TTGCGCCACCAGGGAGGCCCAAAACATACTTCATTTTGGAGGTCTTTTTTTTTTTTATCAATTAGATATCAACATGAGTTTTCTGCAAAATGCATTCAAATGTGAAGTAAAAATATTTAAGGTAAATATTTAACTGTTTGCTGTTTAACTCTGAGAAACAATCTTTCTTATTTTTTCTGCATGTCTGATCTTTGTCACAGAGTGGGAAGAAGTGTTGAAAGTTTGTAGGGAAAGATAAAGAGTAGATGAATTAATTAAGAGACTTCTGAGAAGAAGGTATTTGCAAAGTTTTGAAAGTGGTAAATGTAATTGATGGTGAAGGTGTATTTTCTGAGAAATTTTTCAATTTAGATTTATCTTTTCTTACATGTGTAAGAAAATCTTTTCTTACAGGTATAAACCATGAAATAAAGCTAATTATGGTTGAATGCCTGCAGTTTAAAGATTTAGAGACAGAAATTTGGAGACCAGCAGATGTTTGCTGTCTTTGAATTCATTGTTAAAGCATAGCCACTTCGGGGCCTTCCCGGTGGTGCAGCGGTTGAGCCCTGGGCTGTGAAGCTGCCCGCAGCCTCTGCAGAGCCGGTTCGATCCCCAGTCACCGGCGAGGGTCCCACATGACGCGCAGACCTCTCCTACCGCCCGCTGCTCCCCTCCGCAGTGTATTTCGTTAGTCTGCCTGTTCTGTTCCCTGCTCTGGCTCTGGTGAATTCTTTCACCCTCCCGCGCTTCTGACTGTACCCAGTGCTTGTATAAATAAATAAATAAATCTTAAAAAAAAAAAAAATTCACTCTTTAAAAAAAAAAGCATAGCCACTTCATTCCACATAACCTGAATGTTAGTGAGCATTTTTCTTGTGGTGTTAGGAGTCAGAAGATGTCTGAAACAGATAAATCTGAAAGTTTCAGAGCATAATATGTAATCAAATTGAGTGTAGATATTTAAGTCTTATTTCTTCATAATCGAAAATGGTTGATTTTGTGCAAATGTAATTACATAACTACTAGATTGATTTCTGTATCCAGATGTCTTCAGAAATACAGGTTTGTGAAATAACCTAAAACCAAAGCACAAGTTTTGGTTGGCAAATTCTTGTATATGTACTCTGTTAAATGCATAGATAGTGCATGACTCCCTGGTGACCTATGGGTTAAGTCTCAGCACTGTCACCTCTATGATCTGAGTTCCATCCCCAACCAGTGAGCTAACCTACATAGGCAGACCTCTCCTATCTTGCCTGTTCTGTTCCCCGCTCTCTCTGGTGAATCCTCTCACTCCCAGCACCTCTAGCCTTCACCCAGTTCTTCTGTGCAAAAAAAAAAAAAAAAAAAAAGGAAAGTGCATGACCATCATAAAGAAGTACTTTTAGAAATTAAGAAAGGTTCTTTGTGCTAAGTTCTCAGAATGTCAGGTTCTATTAAAAAACTATGAAAAGAGGGCCTCCCCTGGTGGCACAGGCGGTTGAGCACAGCGCTGTGAAGCTGTCCACAGCCTCTGCAGCGCCGGTTTGATCCCTGCGGGCCAGCGAGGGTCCCACATGGCGCAGCAGACCTCTCCTGTCTCGCCTGCTGCTCTTCTCAGCAGTGTATTTCATCAGTCTGCCTGTTCTGTACCCCACTCTGTCTCTGGTGAATCTTCTCACCCTCCCATGCATCTGGTCTGTACCCTGGTTCTTCTATGAATAAATAATTAAATCTTAAAAAAAAATTATGAAAAGAAAAAAAATTTAGCTAGTGTTGATATATTTTTGCAAAAATGTTTAAAGATTTTTAAGTATACAGTATATAGAAATTTATTTTTACTTAACACTCATTTGTAGTTTTATTATATACCAATCATTGCTGTCTTTTTTTTTTAAAGATTTATTTATGCATACAAGAGCTGGGGTACAGGCCAGAGTTGTGGGAGGTGAGAGGATTCACCAGAGACAGAATGGGGAAAAGAACAGGCAGACTGACTGAAATACACTGCTGAGGGGAGCAGCAGGCGAGACAGGAGAGGTCTGCCTTACCATGTGGGTTGCTCCCTGGCTGGCCGGGGATTGAACTTGTGCTGGAGAGGCTGCAGATTGCTTCATAGTATGGTGCTTAACCCCTTGCACCACCAGGGAGGCCCCCCATTGCTGTGTTTTTTAAACTCATAACAAGGCTACATATTTTCATGTTTTTATGAGAGTATGCTTTTGCTAATGATCATTTTCCCCCAGTAGTTTAACAGTCATCCACATTTAACTTAACATGAGGCTTTTTTTTTTTTTTTAAAGTTTACGTGTACAAGAACTGGCATACAAGTCAGAGGTGTGGGGTATGGGAGGATTCACCAGAGACAGAGTGGGGAACAGAACAGGCAGATTGACTGAAATACACTGCTGAGAGGAGCAGCAGGTGAGACAGGAGAGGTCTGCTGTGCCAGGTGGGTAGCTCCCTGGCCGGGGATTGAACTTGTGCTGCAGTGGCTGCGGATAGCTTCGTAGTGCTGCATCTTAACCCCTTGTGCCACCAGGGAGGTCCCTAACATAAAGCTTTTAATCTCATATTTTGTAGTGAAAGTTACAAATCACATTACTCAGTGATTTCACCAAAATAATATTTTATGTTGCAAAGGTTTTAAAAATAATAATTATTATAGGCAGACTTTCTATATTATATATATTAATGATACAAGGAAAAATAGTGATCTAAGTGGAAATAGAAGTAAACACCTCATGTGAAAAGCATTTGTTTTGCCTTGTTTACTTTTTACAAAGTAATCACTTTGAAACTTTGACAGCATGTAGGTTTGAAAATACATTTGGATTGATTATCTTTCAGCAGCATCATGTATCATCTATCCTTTTTATGGAATTTTATTCTTACACCTTCTGCAGGTTGAGGGAGGCAAAATAGAACTTCTTAACATTTGTAAGGAAGGTGCTTTTACTTTTACCAGAATATTTTCTATTTTTGTTATGACACTGTTTTCTTGTTGGATTCCTCTGTTGGAGGACAACTTTCAATTTATTTGCTTTAAGTACTTAGATTGTGAAGGTTTGTTACTTTTGCCTTTGCCTTGTGATTTGTAATCACAAAATTACACCTAGTTACTTCTCTGGTACATTTAATATACATGGGTCTAGATAATTCTCTGGAACTACTTGGGTAGACCAGAATTAAATAGGTTTGAATCGATGACTTTTCAAATAGTTATCTTCCACTCCCTGCTCAGTAAACTATACTGCGTGGACCCTGAACTGTTTCTGACTCATCTAAAGGTTAATGTAGCAGAAAATAAAATTCACCTTTCATTTAACCTTGTTGGTGGAGTTAGTAGGGGGTGGGTTGTGAGTATCTGACATATTTTCTGCTACCCTTCTAGAGAATAATGTTCTATTTGCATTTATCTATCACTTGGAAGATGCAGGGGAAAGTCATTAGTATAGACTATTTCTCATATTTGATTTAAAGCTGGTATGCGCATCTATAGTGTTACCTTTAGTTGACACTCAGTAGATATTAGTTGATTAAAGGAAGAAACCTGGATTCTATTTCTAGCTCTGCTGCTAAGTAGATAGTTTTCTTCTCTGTTGTGCACACTATTAGAATTCAGCTGGTTTGCATTTCACAAGGACTAAAGGCCAGAAAGTACCATGAGTCAAGATACTGAGTGTTTTAAGGAAAAAACAGCTGGCATGCTGTGCTGCTCTAAAGGTGAGAAGGCAAGACCTGATGTGCGCTGCCTTAAGATGGAGTGGCCAGACTGAGTGAAGAGAATGTGATTTCATCCATGCATGAACCAGATACACTGTGGCATTAGTGGGTCTTGTTATACAAGAATATAGTTCTGGCATATGGTATAGCGATTGCTCAGGGCCTAGGTCATTTTACTTCTGTTATGAATAGTCAAATTTCATTTGGCCCTGGGCCAGTGAGGTAGTGGTTAATTTTATGGATTCTTTAGAACCATTTTGAGAATAATTTCTTTTAAATTGGTATTCTTCCTGCAATTAAATATAGAACATTGAATTTTGACGTACACCCTCTCCTTCCCACTTGCACTGTCATTTATTTCCCACCCACTCTTACCCAACACTCCATCGAGCTTCAATTTTCTTTTTATCTCTTCTTCCATCTATCAAACTATTTCTTATCTATGACACTGTATATGGTGAGACTTGCTCTCTGTGTCAGCATGAGATCAGTGATCAGGGCCAGGTAAGTATCTGGGTACAAAGAAGCTGCCTCACACTTGTTCTGGCTCTACTACTCTGTAACATTCTCTAAGCAGCTAGGCTGCCACTGGCGGCAACAAAGGAGTGGGTTCCTGCCCTTTTCTTTTTTCAGATTGAATTTAAGTGTATGGCATTCTAGTTCTTCTTGTGGTTAGCGGCGTCTTGCTTGGTCCAGAGTCAAGAATCACCTCTTCCAATCCTATTGAATAGTTCCCCCAGAGAGTGAAGACTGATTCTCACCCCTTTCCCTCACCCCTTTCTAAATTAGCTCCTGTATGAGTTTCAGAGAGGTATTCACAGTTCCTTGGCCACAGGCAAGTGGGAAGTGCTGGAGGAGGCGAGCACTCCTATGATCTGTTTCCTTGTGGATCTGGTGGTCTGACCACCACAGGGCCATCTTTTGCCTCTTTGGGATTTCTTAGTTCTCACTTTCTGGCTTCATATCTCTAAATGTCCTAAGATTCAAGCTACTGTTACTCTTTATTTTTTTACCTAGTATCTTACCTCTCTTTTATGGCATCTTTTGACTCTTGATAATATAGTCTGATGATACACTTATTTATCTAGTAATTTTTTAAACTATCCTTTATCCTTCCTTTGCCATTGGAAGGTTTTGGAGAGAGCCATTTGCTCTTACAGTTCTAAAAGAGGTTAGGAGAATTTCAGAATCTAAAAATTAGCTAGTAGTAAAGTTCTTGCTATACTTTTAATGACAGAATCAAAGAGGAACAGATGCTTTTAACACATCTTTTATAAATTTTGGTTTTGATAACAACATTTTCTTTTTCTCAGTTGCATTAGGTCGTAACCAACCTTTGAAAAAGGAGAAACCAAAATGGAAAAGCGATTATCCCATGACAGATGGACAGCTGCGCAGCAAGAGGGACGAGTTTTGGGATACCGCACCAGCTTTTGAAGGCCGAAAAGAGATATGGGATGCGTTGAAGGCTGCGGCACATGCTTTCGAGAGCAATGATCACGAACTGGCGCAAGCAATCATTGATGGTGCAAACATAACATTGCCACATGGTAGGTCTGGCCCTGTAGGACTTGGGGAACACTATCAACTCATTTTGAATAGCAGGAAACACATGGGAAGTTTTCTTTTTCTGTTTTCTTTTTTTTTTTTTTTAATGTACCAAGGAGTAATGTTGTTCTTTGCTTCTTTGTATATCTTTCAGCTGAAGAAAGTTTTAGTTTTTAAATTTTTTAATCTCAAGGAAGAGAACACTTGATAACCTCTGCTTTCTAGTTTCCATATAGTCTAGTTCTTCATCATCTTCCTCCCTCTCCCAAATCTTTTAGAATCACTGTTTCATTTCCCCTCCAGCACTGAAGAGGCACTCTCAATTTAGAGCTCAGAGATTATAGAGACTCCATGGTCACTCTTTTGGTCATTACACTTTTTTTTTAAATTTGTTTTTAATAATTAAATTAAAAAATTTTACATCATTGTTCATTTTTAAACAATATTTGCTTGGGCCTCCCCGGTGGCGCAGCGGTTGAGCGCTGGGTTGCGAAGCTGCCCGCAGCCTCTGCACCGCCGGTTCGATCCCCGGCTGCTCCCCAGCCACCGGAGGAGGGTCCCACATGGCGCGCAGACCTCTCCTGCCGCCCGCTGCTCCCCTCAGCAGTGTACTTCGGTCCTTCTGCCTGCTCTGCTCCCTGCTCTGGCTCTGGTGAATTCTCTCACCCTCCCGCGCTTCTGACTGTACCCAGTGCATGTATAAACAAAACAAACAAACAAATAAATAAATAAATAAACATGCCTCTATATAAAAAAAAAAATAATAATAATAATAAAAAAATAAACAATATTTGCTTCTCCCCCAACCCCCTCAGGTGTAGTCCCTATAGAATTTCCACCCGTGTACCATCACCTCAGTCCCCTGTGCTCCTCCCTCTGATCCCTCTCCCTCCTCCCCTGCAGAATGTCTCTAATTTATAATTGTCTGTTTTTGCTTTGTTGTGTTTATGTACTGTTACTATTTTTTTTTTACACTGATGTCTTATTTGGTTCCCCTATATTCCCGATATAAGTGAAACCATCCGATATTTTTCTTTTTCCTTCTGATTTATTTCACTGAGCATAGTTCCTTCTAGCTCCATCCACATTGCTGTGAATGGCATGAGTTTATCTTTTTTGATTGCTGAAATCAAATCTGTTTTTAGCATAATGAGCAAACCTAAACTTGGAAGTGTTCTTAAGGGCAGTTTTCAATGATTATGGCTCTGAGTATTATTAGAAACCTCTCTCCTTTGCTTTGGAATGTGACCCTGAAGACCATTGTATACTTTGAATGTTTCCAGAGGCAGGCATGTGCTGGACCCATGATCATTCTCTTATTTGGTCTCCTTTATTAGAAATACAAAAAATTTATCAGGGTATACTGAGACTTAACATGTTAATTTATATTCTATTCTTTGTTCTTTTGATTACTGTATTTGCAAGTTTTTCTTTTCAATTTTTCAAATTAATATTTTTCTACATTGCTTTTTCCACACATATTAATCACCTATATTCCTTGCATTGTTTCCTATTATTCATTATCAGGGAATAAAAAGAAGGGCCTTTTTTTATTACCATAGCTTCAATTTCTTTTTTATTATCTCCCTTTTTTCTACATTTTCAGAAGATCTTGCTTTTCATTGTTAATCATCTACTTTATGTCCTTCAACTCTTTTTCAAATAAAAGATACTTAACTTCCATCACCATTTTCTAAATCTCCATTAATTTGTTGTCACAGATTTGTATTAATGACATTTATTGAGTACCCACTGTATGTGGATCACTTTTTCTACACAGGTATAAAAATGATCCCTCCTGTATTGGAAAACTTTATATTAAAATGCCACTTTCGTATATGACTTTTTAGTCTCTATTTGCATGGATAGTCTCAATTCTTTACTGTGTATATGTTTGAGGTAGACATCAACTAATGCCATTACTTTTTTTATTTCAACAATTTGTCTTCAAATATTGTCTTCAAATATAACGGAAAGGGTTGTAAAGGAATTTGACTTATTTTACAAATAGTTTTATCATCTTTTTAGAAAAAAAACCTCCTGTATTTTTTAAACAGAATTTATATTTATATTTGCATAGGCCTACAAGTGGGGGTGGGGGTGAGAAAAGTTTATGTTATGTACTATCTATGATTGTTTTATTTAGAAGCCTGAGATCCAGAACCCTTAAACTTTGACTTCCTCCTTTTGCAGTTATGATAGTTATTTATAGGAATATTTAACTGTAGTCTGTAATTGTGGCTTCTTTTACAAGTTCATGGAGGCAGAGTAGCTCTGCTTCATGTAAAGTGGGGCCCATGCATATGCTGTTGGTGATGGACTCAGATCTTTAAGGAATGTGGTCCCTCATTGCTGCTTATCTGTGTGAACTGCCAAGAAAAATAATGTCGTTGACAGCTCCACAAACAAACAGATTAGGGAAAATTTTTCTTGGAAAAATTAGAATATTGGATGAGCCTCTACCCCCTTTCTATGTTTAAGGAATGTTTTCTGCTTTGGCTAGAATGAAACTGATGTCTGAGCTTCCCTCTTTTAAAGTTCTTTAATAACTTTCTGCATCATTATATTGTCCTTGATAGCCTTGATTGAACTCCCTTGTTCATATCTGAAACTTATCAAAAGTCCATTTTCTTGGGTGAACTTCGAAATCTAAATAGCTGTTTAGATGCTTATATCTATATCTGCTCATTGGTATTATAGAAATTTCATCCATCCACACAGGTGTCCTTTTGAATTAATATTTCTCTGTCCTTTGGGTAGATTCCTAGGAGTGAAATTGCTGGGTCATATGGTAGCTCCATTTTTAGTATTTTGAAGGTCCTCCACACAGCTTTCCATAGTGGTTGGACCACTTTGCATTCCCACCAGCAGTGTAACAGCTTTCTCTTCACATCCTCACCAGCATTTGTTGTTGACAATTTTTAAAATATTTTCCATTCTCACTGGTGTGTGGTGGTATCTCATTGTGGTTTTGATTTGCATTTCCCTGATTATTAGTGATGTTCAGCATTTTCTCCTATATCTGTTGCCCATTTGCATTTCCTCTTTGGAGAAGTAGCTCTTTAGCTCTTCTGCCCATTTTTTGACTGGATTGTTTGCTTTTTTTGTTGTTGTTGTTGAATCATGTGAGCTCTTTGTAGATTTTTTTTATTTAGGGTGTCTCTGGTTACTGTCTCTCTTGCTGTGCAAAAGGTTTTTAGTTTGATGTAGTTTGATGTAGTCTCAGCAGTTTATCTTTTCCTTCATTTTCTTTGTTTCTGGAGAGGAGTCCTCAGAAGATGTTTCTGAGGTATATGTCATGGAGTGTTTTGCCTATGTTTTCTATGTATTTTATAGTTTCAGGTCTTACATTCAAATCTTTTATCCATTTTGAGTTGGTTTTTATGTGGTGTGAGTTAGTAGAATGACTTAATTTTCAAGAAAAGAACAGAATCACTTTCCTCCCATGTTTCCTCTTTTTACTGTGATTCCATTGAATATTATGTTCTTTGTTACAATTACAGTCATCAGGTCATATTACATTCCTGCCTTGTCCAAGGACAAAATAAATCTGTACTTTCAAATTATCTTCCTCTGTTAATACCACTAAGTTTTGGGTATATTATTCTCAAATGGCAATAGGGCAAGTTAAGAGAGAAGTTGGTGTCATAATTATCTGGGAATTTTGTTTACATACTTATGTTCTCACTTTGAAAATTATGTACACGGCCTCCCCGGTGGCACAGAGGGTTGAGCGCTGCTCTGTGAAGCTGTCCACAGCCTCTGCAGTGCAGGTTCGATCCCAGCCGGCCGGCGAGAATCCCACATGGTACAGCAGACTTCTGTTGCGCCTGCTGCTCCCCTCAGCAGTGTTTTTCAGTTGTCTGCCTGTTCTGCTCCTTGTTCTGTCTCTGGTGAATCCTCTCACCCTCCCGTGCCTCTGGCCTATACCCCAGCTCTTGTATAAAAATAAATAAATCTTTAAAAAAAAAAAAGAAAGAAAATTATGTATTGGCAAAATTTTCTTGGATTCTGATATGGTATCCCATTTCCAGACTCTCCCATCCTGTAAGAGTTTTATTTTCCATTATCTATATGGCATTTTAAAACTTGCAGCCCTTAATTCCTGAAAGAGCTTATTTTTTTCTCTGACTGCTATTTTGCGATTATCTAAAAATCCTAAAATATTCCTAATATTTTGCCAGTGAAAACTTGTTATAGATTAGCATCTTGCCCAAATTAACATAAACAGGGTTTTTTAAAAAAATGGTTATTTTCAATTTTCAGAGTCTGGTTCATAGTGACTAGTCATTTTCTACTAGAGCTTGTTCAGAAACAATACCTGTTTATTTTGTAATGATGAACATTTAATCCCTTGTAGAATTATGATATAGACGGTTAAAAAGAACTTTAAAAATTGTCTGTTCTGGGGCCTCCCTGGTGGCACAGGGGTTAAAAGCAAGCGCTATCAAGCTATTGCCAGCCACTGCAGCACCAGTTCAATCCACGGCCAGCCAAGGAGCAACCCAGGTAGCATAGCAGACCTCTCCTTCCTCGACCACTGCTCCCCTCAGCAGTGTATTTCAGTTGATCTGCCTGTGCTGCTCCCCACTCCCTCTGGTGAACACCCCAGTTCTTATATGCATAAATAAAAATAAAATATTAAAATTTTTTTTCTATTTCCCTTCCCTAACTTCTAATTTTTAAAAAAGATTATTATAAATATTTCTTTAGCATTTACAATTAATGTTTTTTTCCATCTCCCTGCAATTCTAATGTAAAAGCGCCACTTGTCACTTTCCTTACAGAGAGCAGTAACTGCTCAACATTCACTTTTCTCCAACTTCCAAGACTTCACTTTAACTTGATTTTTCTTCTCATAGCCAAACATTACCAGTTTTTCCAGTCTGTTTTTGAAAGTCTATTTCATGCTTAGGGGTATGGGAGATAGAAAAAAGTTATTCTTTTAAAAACTTTTTTTAAATTCCCTTCAAAATACAAGAGGGAAAGCAGTTGCCCCCAG